TTAACAAATAACAAAGCAAGCAACATACATACAAACCTTAGTAGCAAGTTGCTTCCCTGAAGCCTTTCCTCCTGTAGATTTACGAGCAGTTTGCTTGGTACGAGCCATCTACACACAATTACCATGAGAAAATCGCAATAACAAATTTTTCATAGAGAAACCCCAAATCTACTTAGCAAAGCTTCGGGAAAATGGATCCGAGCACCTCCAACGGGGGTCCGCTACGAGAAAACTGGTTCGGGCTTAGATTGAGCCGCTGCAGCCTTGGAGTCGTGAAGCTCCAGCGTGGAGATGATGGTCGAGAGGCTTTTCTTTTCTGGTGGCAGTGGTGAGTCGGGAGGATAGGGGAGAAGATGATTTGGGAGGCTTTTATTTTCTGGTGGCGGTGGTGAGTAGGGAGGTTAGGGGAGAAGATGATTTGGGATTTATAACATAGCTAGGGTTGGGTTCTGCAATTTGAGCCATTTATTTGATAAAAAAAAAAAATCGCACCAATTAACAAACTTTGCAAAAAGTGAAATTTTTTGCAACGTTTNTTAACAAACGTTGCAAAAAGTGAAATTTTTTGCAACGTTTGAGAAACACGGCGAAAGGTTTCAGTTTTTGCAACATTTGACAAACGATGCGAAAAGTGAGACCTTTCGCAATGTTTGACAAACGTTGTGAGAAGTGAGACCTTTCGCAACATTTCTCAAACGTTGCAAAAAGTACTTTTCGCAACATTTGACAAACGTTGCAAAAGGCTTTTCTTTTGCAACGTTTGATAAACGTTGCGAAAGGTCTCACTTTCTACACCACTTAATAAACGTTGCAAAAAGGGGTCTATTGCAACATTTTTCTATTAAATATTGCCAAAACTCATTTATGCTAATCAATGGCAACATTCACTTACTAAAATATTGCCAAAAGACCCTTTTAGCAACATTTATCAACAAATGTTGCCTTTTTAGTGTTGCAAATGGCTATTTTTGTTGTAGTGTTGGTTGTCCCTTGTGGTTCAGATCAAACTTATCATGTGCGAGTGGGAGATGTTAGAAAATACGGGTCGTGAGTCGCCCATGTGGAATGACCCGACCCACAAGTTATTAAAAGGGTTGGAGGGATTGATTTGAATTTTAAGTTCAAATATGTAACTCCCTGCAACCACCATCAACTCCAATACATGAAAAATTGAGTGAAAATTCGTATTGAATTTTACATCTAAATTAGAAAGTCCTTAGAACCATATTTTTGTGATCGGGATTGAGACCATTG